CTTGATTGTCGGGGCTGAAAAGAACAGTTTTTAGTTTTTAATGTCTAAGCCTCTCTACTAAGTACTGCCCGAGGGGACGTGCGGGCTGCCAGTGTTCTCAGCAGAGATTTGTTACCGCAGAGGATTTTATCTTATACTAAGAACAGTGAATGCTGAAGGTTTGATTCAGGATTTTTTTTTGTCATTTTGAAGAGAGAGAAGTTCCCATTAAAAAAAATTTCTTTAAAAATTGTAATTAAAAATTGGTGAAAGTTAATAATTAATGGCTTGTAGCTGAGTTATTAATGGTCTCATTTTTCCATGTAATGAAAGTCTTAAGCTGTCTTGTGTGTTAACTATACAAAAAAAAAAGTAAAAAGTGAGATTAGCCTTAATTTAAAATTCTTTTACGTATACAGAATTGCAGAGTTGTATCCATAAAATGTATAAAGTTGGTCTGTAGAGTTCTGGTTTAAGGATTATTTTATATAATAAACCAGAAGGAAAATTTGGGCTGGCAGAATTTTCAAAGCCCGTGTCAAAGCCCCTAACTGCTTCTGGTATGAAAGTCAGCTAAGCAGCCTTGTGTTGTTGTTTCCCCCAGGATATCTTTTATGCTTTCTTTTTTTTTTCCTTCCTTCCCTTTGGAAATCGAAGTGTTTATTTGCATGCAAGGTAGGTGAATTCTTTTATCTATTTGTGTATCGTAAACCAAAGCAATTAGCATACTGCAGTTACAGTACACTTAAAAAAACAAAACAACCCTTCAAAACCTTCAGTCAATATTATTCCTGGAGGGAAAACTCTTAATTAAATTGTATGCAAACTACAACAATAGGCAAAGTTGTTTGGTGTTTAATAATAACTGTTGGGGGCGGGAGGAAGAGTGAAAAAAGTAAGTCTAGCGGAGAGCTTTGCATGCCATTAACCCAAGGATAGAAATGAGGTCAGCCTTTGAAGGGACGGACAACACGCTTATCTGCCAACATTGGAAAGTCCCAAAAGATTAGCTTATTTGCCAGATGTTGCTGGGAGTTAGTTCATCATTGACACCCTGTGCTTCATGGGCTTCATCTCTCACCACAGTTGCAGTTGTCTTTTCTGCCCTTTGCAGGCTTCCTGGAGATCTTCTCCAGTGCATAACGCTTGAATTTTTTCCTTGAAGTAGGTGGGTTTTTTTTTTTGTTTCACAGCAATAGGCATAATGAACCATCTTAACTTGTGAAGATGATCTGAGGACTCTTTGTTTTTCTTTCATACACCCACGATAATGCTCTTGGCATAGGAACCACTGACACGAAGCATAGTGACTTCTCGAGTTCTGGGAATGGGGCTGTGTTTGTGAAGGGGTTTGTAGAAGACACTTAGTAGTATTAACCTTTAGGAGATGAGTGAAAATGGGGGCAGACTGTCTGACAGGCTACGCATCTTCTGTTCTTGTTTATCCCTGTGCCTGGAAAATAACTAGATACAATTTTAAGCGGGCTGTTCTTATGTTATTAGCAACTTGGTAGGGCATCAAATACTGCACTGTGGTAGCGGTAAGCGTGTAACCCACTAAAAATTAGTAGTGAGAGACAGTGCATGCTATCAGATCCGTGTTAATAATGACTGTAAGAGCCTGGAATGGCATTCTTTGCATGTATCTTCTCCTTTAAATCTTTCAGGAGTTTGGTAGTAAATATTGATTTCAGCTAATGGTGGTTTTAACTTCTGTGTCTGCGTTCTGTGCCCCAAGGGACTGTGTCCCAAACAGGGAGAAGCCAAGACTTGCTCGTAGAGAACAGAGCAAATATGTTTTCCCTTTAAAATGCTGGCTGTTAGTGGTTGTCTCATGAAGCAAGATTCCTGTCACTTGTGTTACTGCGGTTGTTTTGCAGTTTCCCCACCTCCCTTTGTGCAGAACAGTTTGTGAGATGGACAGTGACTTATGTAAAGGCAGATGTTATCACCACGTGCCACGAGGCATCCGGTCTAAGAAGTCTGAGGGTTGAAGCTTTTGAGATCGTTAGTAGAGGGGCCTTTGGCAGCAGGTGATTGAAAGCATCTGTTTGAATCCTGTTCTAACATAGCCTTCATACTTCCCTTCCATTGACTATCCCAAGACACTCAAGTCTAACTTAGCCTTCTAACATGAGCGCTGAAGTTGAATGCCTAATGATACAGAGTGAGAATATTTGTTCATGTTGAAATAAACATGGAATTCTGATGCTGTTTGTCTACCCATGGACACTTGACATTCTCCCTAACATGGTCACTTGACGTTCTCCCTAACATTTAGCACGTTAAGTCCATAGACCCAGCTATTGCTTTTACGTCAGTAGGTCTGGGTTAGCTGTTGAATTTCCAGCACTGAAAAGTTAGCAGAAAAATTACACGTAGGGGAAATGGAGCAATGATACAGGTGTTGCTTCTGTCTGCGGGTGTGCGAATAGTGCCTTTTCCTTCCATTGCTTGACTTTGTGGTCGTATTGTTACAGCTTGGGCTGCTGCATGTTCTGTTAGGCAAACCGCTGTGCTGTCAGCGAGGTTACGGTCTGGTCTCGCCTGTTGTTTCAGACTTGCCAGTAGGGAGAGCAGGTATTAGGGTTGTTCTGCAAATGCCATCAGTGGGGGGACAGTTGCAGAGCTACAAGCCTGGGACGCTTCCAGGTCAGGCCGGCCCTGTTTGGCCAATCGCAGAGTGCAAAATAACCACATTATTTCTTTTTTCTTCTATAGAATATTTCTGTGCTGAGATAACTTTCATGAACCGTTTCAAAAGTGCTGGGGGTTTTTTTGTTTTGTTTTTGTTTTAAATTCACTCTTTGCCTCCATTCTCATACCTCCTTTTTTTTGTCTTCTATTGCCAATGTTTAATAACCCCCATGGTCATTTCCGTAAAATACCAAATCCTTTCGCTCTGTATCAAGTAAATCCATGATGGGTTTCCTATACTGAAATGGAGAGCCCAAGAAATGTAGAGTAATCATTTAGACCTGTGCATTTTCACTAGGCTTGAGATACAGCTCATCCAGTGTAGAGGACAAATCTTGCCCTCTACCAAATACTCTATCTTGCATGGGTAATGTATGGTGTTGAGCTCTCACACTGCTGTTACTTGGCAAGGCAACAGGTCATCTGCTTTCTGTTTTCTTTTTCAGAGGTATCCTTTTACTCCCTTCCTCTTCCTCAGCCCAGTACTCAGTGGTTTGCAGTCCTTGCTTCCACTTTCTTTTTCTTTTCCATTTCCACTGGTGGCTCCTTGCCCCCCAGCCCCTTTGGGGTTCTTCCCCTTATTTCTGTTGCGTTCCCCCCCCACTTCAGACTTTTACAAACTTCATTCTTGTTCCCTTTTGAAATTTCCTACCTTTGGCCCTTCTTTTTTTAGTTATCCCCAGTTCTGCTCGCTCTTTCTTGAGAAGAAAGCAGCTCTGCACAAGCAGAAGAAAGGCAGGAGACCACTCTTTGGTCTTCCTTGATAACAGAAACAGTAGTTTTTAGTGGCCAAACGCTGAGCGGGAGAGCAAAAAATCTCTCTCAGCTGATTTGGAGGCAAATGGGTGTACCTGGAAGAGAGATGGGACAAAACCTTAGGACTGCTGGGGAGCCTTCCCAGCACTGGATTTTGTTCAGACAGGCAATAAGCAAACTGAGTGGCCTTTTAAAAGGAACTGGGGTGTTTGGCAGTGTGAAATGAGAGTCTTTTCGGTACTCCATTCGCAGAGGATCCTGAAGCATGCCAGTGGCCAGCGACTTCGCAGGTGGCAAGGGGCTAACTACTAGCGAGGCACCCACCCCGTGCTGCACAGAGGGTGCTCGCTGCCGGGTGGCAGCGCTGCCAACCCTGGGGAAAGGACCAAAGGCTGCTTGCTGTTGAGGCAATTCACACATCAACTGCTTTTTGAGAGCATTCGTCTCTGCCTAAAGATTTATGGGGCTCTCTTCTTTTAAAACAAATGAATAAAGGCCCAAGCTGAGTGTTTTTCCACATATAAGTGTCAGAAACGCAATCACAAAAACTTCACTGGAGTACCAGTGAGGGCTCGAGCCCCAGCTCCAATGTGCATCACATTAAAGGCCTTCTTGGGGACTCCAGACACAAATTGCTTTCCAGCATCCAGAACCATTTGGAAATGCTTTAATCCTGAATGAGGGGGTCTCTAATGGAAATGCTGACAGACCCTTCGTTGTAGCAGCCGAAGCAGGCAGGGCCGTGATAATGAGCCCTGTATGCGTGCATGTGGAAAGCGTGATGCTCGTTTCAGAAAACAAGCACTTCCACTGAACAGCCCATGCCGACGAAAACCACCATGCACCGTTTCAGCGCAATGATACTTAAACTGAGCTTTGCTCGTGCAAGGACATACTGGGAACAACCGTAGGCATTAACCCTGGGTGTACTACACTTCCCAAACCAACAAGCATTTGTAGTAACACTGTAATTACTGGTAAATAGTGCTGTACTGAATAGCCACAACTAGCAGTTTAAAATGCTGCATACACTGATGGCTTTCTTTAATATTCGCAAGTGCACCATAACCACGTCTCCTCTCACTTTTTATTTGTTGTGACCATGACCCTAAAAAGTAGGTGATGCTTCATTTATTGCTCGTGTCTCTGCATACTGTGGCTGACGCTAGCGGCTGTGTATTTTGTAGTTGTATTTGGAAATCTCCGTGACCTTGGTCACACCAGGCTGAAGAAACCTGTCTTGCAAGCATGTGCCCAGGTGATTAATTTCAACAAACAGGTTGCTTATAAGACTGTAATTACTCACTTGTGCAAATGGCAGGATGGGTGCAGTGACCTGTATTAGACACAGTGTAGTATACACCTCCCCATCGGTTCATTTTCACTGTTAATCAGGGGACTGAAAACCTTGCAACATTTAGACAGCTTGAGGTTGAAGGCTGAAATGTCACTTTTAAAAGAGGGTTAAAAAGGTCGTGCAGCTGCAAATAATAATAGCCCAATGAAAATCAGATTCTTACTGCAGCCCACTTCAAGAATAACATTGAAACAGGAAACAAGCCTGCTTGATGTTTTTACCAGTAAGGCAGTAAGATTACTGCGGAGTTTAAAAAGGGGGAGAGAGACACAGAAAGGAGCATGCTTTCTTGGTGTTAGTTGTTAGAACTATTTTTCTGATTCAGAAAGGATGACCGTGGGGTTCTGCAAAATCTCCTTGTGGAGCCTGGGGACGTGGGGTACTTCCCTCTGGATGCTGCTGAGAGGGGATGTAGTTTGTTGCTGTGTTCTGAGGGTGGCTATGTTTCTTTTGTTTGCTTTTTATTTCTTTGTTATGTCCTCGCGTTCCTCGCTGTGGGCTTCAGTTTTATTAATTATAATAAAAAAGAGTTCAGAAGTATCTTACGCAGAAATCAAGGAATAGAAGAAAATCTTGGCTTGCTGTGTAACTTGTTTCTCTTCCATGTGACGTGGCTTGGAGAAGTCTTTCTATATTTCTTCTATATTTTCGTTTATTTCTTTTTCTAATTAGAATACCTTAACTTCTCCTAAGCAGAGTGATATTTTAGAAGAATGGCAGGCTGCAACAGTGGAGCAGATTTCCTCACTTATGTATTCTGCCAATAAGGCTCTTTACGTGGTCACAATAGGGCAATAAATGCTGACAGATGTTGTTAACATGTCTATTAAAATTCAGCCCCCCTTTCTGCTGCATAATGCACTCATGCCTATTGTTAATAATATGAGAACTAATGCTGACATATCAATATTAGTGCTCGCTTATATTTATAATCCTTGTTTGTTTCTTCGAAGAGGTCGCAGAGTTGCAATAAATTAAGCTATTGATAACAGAAGTAAAAAAATCCAGGCGTGAGTAATTTTTTAACTTTTCAGTCATTATAGATTTGCCTGATATTCTTCATGCACATTAATTGCGGCAGTCATATGTAGTGCTATGAAAGGTGCATGAGTGTAACTTGAATTTTTAAGATCCCGAAGGTTAATAAGCGCCTTAATTTAGATGGAGAGGTTGCTGTGATTTATTTTTATTAGGTGAAGTCGAAATGTTGCCATTGGTTGTGTGATTTCCTTCATGTGTGCTGAACCACCTGCACACACCGTGGAAAAAGGAGGCTTGAGCTGTGTGGCCCAGCAACACACGTGTGCTGTGCGATGGGTGCTGTGGGCCAGAGGCCGTGTACGACGGAAGAATGGCAGATGCACGCCTGCATCTCAAAAAGGATGCTGTGCAAACTGTGCTGTGCCCAGCCAAAAAGCCTCTGTTCCTGAGAGCTCCCATCCTGCTG